GTAGCAGACAAACAAGAGGGAAGGCCATGGTGAGAACCACCAGGTGAGCCAACAGCAGCCTGAACAGCACCTGCATGGCTGGGCCTGCCAGCCTGCTCTGCAACACGGCAACCACCCAAGGAGTCCAAGGGGGAAATGTGAGCAGCAGCGATTTTGGGGTGTAGAAACTGGGTGGATGCACGTGTAGATGTAGATGCAGATGTCCATGTCAACACTGATGTACATATCAGTGTATACGTAGATGGTGTAGATGTCAGTGTTGGTTGATGTCAGTGCTGATATCGATATCAATATAGATGTGGATATCACTGCTGATGTCAATGTTGATGTTGGTGTTGATGTAGATGTAGATGCGGATATTAATGTAGACACACTCCCACTTCTTTCAGCCATTCTAACGACAAAGTGGCAAACAAAGCTGTGCAGAGCAGACAATGTGAACATGCTTTATTTTCAGTAGAAATGTTCACAGAGTTTCATAGCAATTGTTCAACTCCTCCCACATGGCAATGAGCTTGTGCTTTCTGCTCTCTGGCAGTATTTCTATCACAAACTGCAATTATGAAGAAAAAAAAATATATATGAGATGTAAAAGGGGAGGTGTAAAATGACAGAAACCTCTCCTACTCTCAACCTTTTGTAAGACAGGTATCCTATGTATTTCATGGACAAGCTCCGAATCAAACTGGCTTACATGAATTTGTACTGGTATCTTCCATCATGAAGGAGCTATGTGCTGGACAGAGAGAGCTGCAGGAGCACTATGTAAGTGTAGAACCCCTCAGAGGCCAAAACAGCTTCTCACAAAAGGAAAAAGAAAAAAAAAAAAGAAATGCTGATGAACCAGTGCTGCTTGAAGGCAGCTGGAATAGTTCATGCTCTTGTTTTTATCATCAGTGCTCCAAGGGAAAGACAGCTTTGTTTTCACATGGTTATTGATTATTAACCAGCCCTGTGAAAGGTTACCTTTCTGCTAGATACATGATGTGGGGGTTTAACAGTCAGTCCCTGGGAACGCTGTTTTGCCGTCAGCTCTTCCTTCTCCTGCTGCAGCCCTTGCCATGGGGACAACTTCACAGTGCTGCTCTAAGTGTGCTCCAGCCACCTTTCCTGTTAAAGAGTGAACTGCAAAAAATGCAATTGGGCACTAAGAAATCACTCTTCTAGTCAGGCACCGGAGAGGGGGGTGATGGAACTGCTATTGGTCACCGCAGGAGAATGGGGAAAACTGAGCGGGGACTCACAATTATTTGCACTGAAAGGCAAACAAAATGGTCCTACCACCTTTCCAAGGAAAAAAACATTGTGTCCATATGATTCTACGACTCACTGATCCCAGCAGTGTCTGTTGGACATCACTGGGGAGGAAGCAGACACAGCTTTCAAACTAAGCTCCCAAATTCAATACTTAGTGTAAAAGCTTTGAAAATTCCACTGAATTTCGGGAGGTCGCCATTCCATATCTGATGGTATATGTATTAAGGCCAACATTTTAAAACCACACAGGTACGACATCAGGTACACAGCTTGGCATTCCAGATCACAGGGCACTCAACCACGTTCACAATGCACTGTAAAAAGTTTTGGGCTTCGTACTGTATGGAAAACCATTCCACCGTGCAAACAACCTCTTCTTTGCTGGGCAAACATCCAGTGAGAAAATGACATCAAACCTCAACAAGTCCTTGAAAGACACTTGAATCTGATATGGCGATCCAAGTATTACCAGTGTGGTTATTGCATATCTCACTGTAGGACGGCAACAGCCGAGTACCTGAAACATTTGTTATTGATACTGGGCTATATGAATTCCTGTTCTGGTAGAGGAGAAAATTATGGTGTGCCTGCACTGCTTAGTATTGCTACAGTTGCTGTCATCCTTCAGTTGCTTTTATTTAATCTCTTGGAACAACCAACTCACAATAAGGATTTAACTTCTAGGTGAATCATGGGGGTGATGTAAAAAAATCACCTTGGAGGAGTGAGGTGCCAACAGAGGAAACACTTGGACCTGCCAGAGTTGTTCTCAGCGTGAGGTGTGACCATGCTGTTGACTGTGAGGCTGTGCTCATGGATCAGACCAACACAGAGCTGAGGAGCATGAGCACCCTGTCTTCATGGTGAGGTTGTGAAAAGTTCCCCAAAGGAGTAAAACCCAGGGTCTCCAGCTGGCCTGCAGCACACATACAGCCAACAGTTAAGGTAGAGTGATGGAATCATAGAATATCTCAAGTTGAAAGGGAACCATAAGGATCATAAAGTCCAACACCTGGTTCCACACACGGCCACACAAAATCAGACCACACCTCTGAGAGCATTGTCCAGACTCAGCATCAAAAAGTACTGAGCTTGAAGGTGAACCCAACCATACCTGGGGGATTTGTTCTAGTATGCAACATGTCTCTTGCTTTGGCTTTCACAGTTTTCAATGGCTAGACACTGAATGCTGTTGTACACTTATGAGCTGAAATAAATATGCCCCTTTTACCAGCGCTCTTTTATTTGCACAGTTACATATAGACAAGATGGCCAATATCCTCAACACCTCACAAGCCTGCCAAAGCCTTGGGCCTGGGCTGTTGGGCAGCTCCCTGCTGGGACATGCCAACAGGTGTGCAGGAGTCCTGAAAATCACTGAGAAACATTAAGGTTAGAAAAGGCACCTAGATCATCTAGTCCAACTGTTGACCCATCCCCACTTTGTCCATTAACCATGTCCCTCAGTGCTACATCTCCATGTTTCTTTTGGGGTGTTGGACTCAGTGACCTCCTGAGGTCCCTTCCAACCCTTGCAATTCTGTGACTCTTGAGCACCTCCAGGGATGCTGACTCCACCACCTCCTTGGGCAGCACTTCCCTGGGCTCATCCTGCCAAGTATTCAAGAGTCATTGGTCCTTTGAGTTCATGTGTACATACAAGATCAATGCTTCACCTTCTAATTTCTTGCATCATGCCTACACATCTCAAAGCTCTCCCAGCTGGAGAATTAAGGATGATGCTTTAATTTAAATTTTAGCACAAACTGTTGCAGTTCTCGCACGGCAGCAGGCAGGATGGGCTCTGGGCGGGTTCAGCTCCCACTGCTGCTGGACATCGTCCCCCCAGGCACAAGCAGGGTCCCCCATCACAGGCTCTGTTCCTGTGCTGCAGTTCTCTGCCTTGTTGTTAGCACGACAAAGCATGCCCTTATCACCTGCTCACGCAGGCAGAATGAAAGAGAATTAGCTCTAAATTATACGAAATTCATTTGCTTTGGAGGGGGAGAAATGTTTGCTCTATTTAGAAATGTTCGTTATAGAGAGAGGACCGCATTAAGACGCCGGGTAATGGTCCTACCTGGAGATGAATCAATTTGCTCTGGTTTTTATAGCCACGCGTTTGTTTGTCCTCTCCGGTTTCCCGTGGAAAACGTGGGGCTGTAAATGCTGTGGGGAGCAGCGTGGAGCCGGGCTCCCCGTGGGGATGAGGATGGAGCTGTGGGAGACCCCAACCGCCCCATACCCCCACCCAGGATGGGCTCCGTGACACCCTGCCCTCCACATACTCCCACCCCACGGTGATTCCCCCACGGGGCAGAGAAAGCCTGAGCCCCCACTTTCATCACAAAACTCTGGGGGCTTCAAACCCCCCCAGCTTCCAGCCAAGGGAGAAGTGTGTGAGAAGTCTCCAGAGGGGCCAAAGGACGTCAAGCCCACTTCCAGGGAACGCATCCTCCTGATGGGGGCGGGCACAGGGCTGTGTCCCGGGCACGGTCCGTACCCCAGCCCAACGTGGCAGGGGATGTGAGGGAGGGCTCCGTGTTGAGGGGGAGCCGGAGGAGCAGCGATGCCTATCGGTAATTCCCACTAATAAAATTCTTTTTCACTATCCGCACTATAATTGGTTTACAGCCTTTTTTGTTTATTTATCCATAAGAGCTGCTGTTAAATGGCTTGAGAAAGCAATTGCTTAATGGCTCAATATTGAATCAAAGGCTCGGTTTGCTTTCCGAGAGATGGGGGGCCCGAATGGATTCATAGCGGAAACTCATTTTCCATGTAATGGACTGGGTGCTTTTATGATCCCGGCTTCTGAGCCAGGTACCGGGGAACCTCCTTCCTCTCCCGCCCACGGATGCATCGCCTCCACCGAGCCGGGCCGGGCCGGTCGAGCCTTCAGAGACGGAGCGTTCGGTGTGCGCCCCGACGGCGGTGGTCGGAGACCGGCACGGAGCGCCCGGAGCCGGGCATGGAGCTGAGGGAAAAGGCGATGAGAGGAGGAGGAGGAGGGCCGGTCAAAGGAGGAAGCGTGCCTGCCTCTGAGCCGGAGAAAGCGGCCTGCGGGCCGAGTGCAGGGAGGCAGGGAAATGATCTTTGTCCCTTTCGGTAGCTCTCCGCCTCCCCATAGCCTCGTCACCAAGTCAACCGGCACCGACTTGTAGCGCATTATCTCTGAGGGTCAACACATTGCAGCCCGAACCGCGGGGAAGGCTCCAAAATTTCCCCTTTCGGCAAACAATCTGCTGCCTATCGCTCACTCTGCCGATAGCATTGTGGTCCCCCACGGCCGCATCCCCCGGGCAGGGGGCACAGAGATCTTCTGGCGCGCCTCTGCTGCTTGGGGTCCCCCGCAGTTCCCACTCCCTTCTCCACATCCCTGCCCGAGAAGCCCCGACTTCACCCCGAAGCCAGGCCCCCCAGGAGCCTTTTGCCACCTCCTGGAAAGGATCTGCTGGAAGGGATGAGCAGCCCGTGTTTAAAAGGGAGGGCACGCGGTAGGTTTTGGGGTCACCCCGCACGCCAGAGACCCGGGGTTCATCGAGTAGGGTCAGATGTATTTGTCCAGCAGGGCGAAAACGGGGAAAACGGTTCTGTGAGGCCGGGGCCACCCCGGTGGCCTCTTATGGGTCCCGCCCCGCCCCGGAGGGCTGCGGGAGGCTCACGTGGGGGTGCGGCGCCTATGGGGAGGCGGCGGGAGCCGGGCAGGGCGGCGGGGCCCGACGGGGCGGCGAGCTGTCAAAGAGGGATCCCGGCGGCGGGAGCAGCCCGATGTGCCCCTAGCTGCAGGACCCCCCGGCCTGCCGCCATGAACACCGAGGAGCAGTACTACGCCTCGGCGCAGCTCTACAAGGAGCCGTGCGCCTTCCAGAGAGCGCAGGATTACAGCCCCAGCCCCCCCGCCTGCCTCTACGTGGGCCGGCAGCAGCAGGCTCCGTATCCCGGCTCTCTGGGGACGCTGGAGCAGGGCAGCCCGTCGGACATCTCGCCCTACGAGGTGCCCCCCATCAGCGAGGATGCCGGGGTCTCCCACCTGCATCACCACCACCACCACCACCCTCATCTCCCTCCCCCGCACCAGGACGCTCTGCCTTTCTCCGACGGGGCGGACCCGGGGGCGATGGAGGAACCCCGGGTGCAAGTGCCTTTCGCCTGGATGAAGTCCACCAAGTCGCACGCCTGGAAGGGGCAGTGGGCAGGTAAGCCCCGCCGCCTCCTCCCTTTCGGAAGGAACCGAAAGGGCTCCGATCGTGGGGGTCCCTCGCAGCCCTCCGATCCCGCTGCCGTCGGGTTCCCGCCGTCGGGTTGAGCCCGCCCGGGTTTAAGTCCCGTTCGCATCAGTCGGGGAGGGGTGGCGGTGCCAAACCCTGCGTTGATCCCCACGAATTCCCTTTCCTCGACGAACTTTTCGTCGGGATGGGGCACGCAAGGACTCGCCGTCGGGGAGCTCGGGGGGCTTTCGCGGGGTCCCCATCCCGCGGCGTGCGGGAACGAGGCAGCCCCCGCAGCCCAACGAGGAACCCCCCCCCCCTCTGCCTCCGGCGCCCCGCAGCCCGCAGCGGTGGCTCGATCGGGATCGCACCTTTACAACCCAGAACCCTGGGAAGGGGGAACAATGCACAAACGAATCGGAGGTGCCAGCGAGGGGAAGAAACTCTATCGAGGCAGAAAGTTCCGCTGCGGAACAATATTTCTGTCTCTGCCTGCACAATGTTATCGTGTCCTGCGCTTTTGTCACGCCTATACGGCAAATATTATATTAATGGCTTTGTTCAAATAGACAGTTGAAAAGGGACTGGAGGATTGAAATCACCATGAAATAGTCTGGGAAGTCACATTCTCAAAATATCTCTGTGTGTATATATATATATAGGTATATATATATATATATACATATATATTATTATTTCACCGTTAAATCCGAGGAATGACCAAAACCTCGCCAAAACAAAACTTTCCCCTCTAAAGTCCCAAACCCTTCTCCACTGCTCCCAGGGGGGGGGGTCCAGGCAGCGCTGAGCAGCACATGGCACTGGGGATGAGCTGCAGCCACCTGCACCGCTCTCCACACTCTGAAGCATTAAAGTTGGAAAAGACCTCTAAAATCACCAAGCCCAACCGTCAGCCCATCCCCACCGTGCCCACTGACCACATCCCTCAGTGCCGCATCCACACAGCTCCTGAACACCTCCAGGGACGGTGACTGCACCACCTCCCTGGGCAGCTGTGCCACTGCCTCGCCTCTTTTGGAGAGGAAGTGTTTCCTAATACCCGATCCGAACCTTCCCTGGCACAGCCTGAACCCATCACCTCTCTCCCCACACCGTGCCCCTCATGCCCGTGGAGTGCCCGCAGCCAAACCCCGGTGTCAGCACTTGAAATCCTGACCCAAAACATTCCGACAGCGGGGTTCCCCCTCCAGTGCTGCTAGATTGCTTTACCCCAACAGTGCGATTCCTTAATGCCCATGCACATACAAACTTGTATGTTAACCAGATAAACGTTCGTTTTTACTTATTTTTTCTCTACACTTTTACATATTTTACATTTTTTTCTATATTTCTATATATTTTTATATGGATGTGTCCCGGGAACAAAAGGCTGGGCGGCCTTTTCCACATCCAAGTGACCCAATAGCTGTTTCAATCGCGACGCCCCGGAGGTCGCATTGCCACCACTCCGAGGTGTCCCCTGGGGCTCTGGGTGCGGGTGACATCGCGGTGACACCTCCTCCGGCTCCCGGCCCCTCCGGGACACAGCAGAGACACAACAGAGGCCGTGCTGGGGACGGTGTTGTCGCCGCTGTCACCGTTTCCAGCATCACGGAACCAAAGGTCTTCCCAAGCCAGGCACTCCGGCTGCCCCGAACGAGGCTCCGTGCTCCCATCCCACATCCCCATTGCCTATGGCCGGGACGAAGCCTGTGCAGACATGGGTATTATTATTTTTTTTTCTCCACGCATTTACCATGGAGAGGTAAAAAACTTGATTCTATTTTTTTTTTCTTTTCCTTTTTTTCTTTATTTTTTCCTTTGCCTTTTTTTTTTTTTTAATATAAATTATTTTTACCCTTTCTGGCGATTAACTTCAGTGAATTGATTTATTTCCACGTCGATTCACTGAATACTTCGGCCAAACGTTTACAAAAAGAGCCATCAGCGGCCGCGGGAGCGGCACACAGCGTAGTGCAGCCCGAAGCGGGGGAGGGGGAGGTTTCGGTTCCCGGCCCTCTCGTCTCCCCCTGCGCTTCCCCGACGGGGCGGCCGCGGCCGGGGCTGACTGTGGCTCTCCGCAGGGGGTTCCTACGTGGTGGAGCCGGAGGAAAACAAGAGGACGCGGACGGCCTACACGAGAGCGCAGCTTCTGGAGTTGGAGAAGGAGTTTCTCTTCAACAAGTACATCTCCCGGCCTCGGCGGGTGGAGCTGGCCGTCATGCTGAACCTGACCGAGAGACACATCAAGATCTGGTTCCAGAACCGGCGAATGAAATGGAAGAAAGAAGAAGACAAAAAGAGGGGGACGGCCAACAGCGCTGATCCCGAGCAGGACTGCGTGGTGTCCTCCGGAAAGCTGCAGGGCAAAGAGGATCTGCAGCCGTGACTGCGGCCTCCACCAACCCCTCCAGCTCGGTCCCGGCCTCGCCCCCGGACAACAGAGGGACCCTCGGGGCCCCGGGGCAGAGCCTGGAGCTTCTTTCTCGGAGGATCCGCGGTGCCTCTCCCCCCGGAACTCCCCGAGCCGAAGAGGCGTGCGGGGCCGGGACTGCGGTGTCCCGGGGGAGGCGGATCGCGGATGGCCGACACCGACGGCGGCAGCGGCCCCGGGAGAGTGGAGCGGGCACCGCAGGAAGGGGAGCGGGGCCGGGCGAGGGGCTCTGCTGGCCGCCCCGCCGCTCTGAGGGGCTCCGCGGCACCGGTTCTGCAGGGGACTTTCAAAAGAAATCGGACTCGTGCTCGGTTCTTCGGCAATTTGGTTTGTTTCGTTTTCTTCCGACTTTGGGAAAGGGAAAGAAAAAAGAAAGGGGGGGGAGGGGGAAATTAAAAAAAAAGAAAAAAAAAAAGAGAGAGAAGAAAATAAAAATAAAAGTAAAATAAAAATAAAAATAAAAAAGCCCGAGCTTCCTGCGGGCAGGATTTGGAAGATTTCTCTCCCCAGTGACACCGGGCACACAGGCGGCCGTCGAGGACCGGCGGTGCGGGGCCGCGCTGCTGCCAGGGTCTCGCCGCAGGGGTCGATGGCAGCGGCAAGAGGGGAAAGTTTCCTTCGGAGGAAAAACTCCTTCCCTTCTTCACTGCCTCCCGACCTCCGGACGTCGGGAAGAAGTCTCCACAGCTCCATTTCTTTCTTGCGCGGCTCCGCGCTCGGCGCTGCGCGGTTTTGTTTTCTCTGCGGACAACGCGTTACGTCCCGGAGGGGTTCGGGGCTGTTTGGGGCTTCTTTTGGAACCCGAGAGAAGAGGTTCAGAGAGGGGAAAAGTGACGTTTCTCCATCGTTCCTCAGCCGCTGAGGAAAATCTTACCTATGCCGACAGCGGCACGGACGGGGATTTCGTGAAGGAGAAAGGAACGGTTCCTAAAACAGCGTTGAAAATTGAATTCGATGGGAGGAAGGCGGCTCTTTTCACGGTGGGCACCGGCCCTGCGGATGTCGTTCTGCTGCTTTTCTTTGCTTGGGGGCATTAACATGTGTGCACAAACAGGGACGTTCCTGGACTTTTTCCTTTTGCGTTGCACGGGAAGCGCAGCACCAGGCCTGGATCTCTTCAGTCACTCAAACACCGTCAACGAGTGAGAACTCTGCTAATGATTCTATGAGCGATCTACCAATAAAGCCGTTCTGCTGAAGAACCAAAGTCAGCAGAGCAACACGAGTAAAGCCGCCCAGACTTTGCGGGGACCATTTTAAACCTCACCACTTCTTCTCACCATTAATTTCACGTCAGTCTGCCACTAGAAACACCCCCCGGAGCTATTTCCAAATGCCTTCTGTGCTGGCTACATCGAAGTTGCATTCAGGGAGCCCCTATGAAAATAGATCCAGCTGCTAACAGATGATCCTTCATACTGAGGGTTGGGGTTTTGTACTAAGATCCCTATGGAGCGTTTCGCTGGGTGAGCAGCAGATGTGGCAGTAGAGATGTGCCCCTCCTTTTCCCAGTACAACACATTTGGTTTCAGTTTTCTCCGCGCACTGCTGTAACGATGGAGACTTTCTGAACTGTGCTGAGTTTGCTTCACCTGACCATGAGGCCAAAGTATTTCTACAAGTGAAAGTAGAACCAGCTCTGCATGATTTAGTTGTATTGAATAAAATCTTTTTCTTTAAAGAATTGACATCACTGATGGGTTTGGCACTTCATTTTTTCCTATCCATCTTTCTTACAAATGCACCTACATATATTTATAGTGTTAGCTGAGTCTGGACAGCTCTGGGGCCATGCAGAGGTAAATGTATGACAATTCCAGCATCACGCCGAGCGGGCAGGAGGTAAGAGATGGAAGGTTTGGCTGTTATTTATTTCCTTTTCAGCAGTACTCCGCTCTTCCAGCCATTGCTCTGTGTGGGTTGCTGCTGCCACAGATGAATAATGATGCCCATAAATCAGACCCGAAATAGGCGATTTAACACAAGGTGTGAAAGTTTTTCCACCGCCATCTCCCTTGCTGTGCTCACTGCTGCTGCCATGGATGTGGCAGATGGTGGCTGAGAGGGGACACAGCGCTCAGGAGGGCTGTGGTGCTTGGAGGGTGCCAGCCCTGCAGCCATCAGCATGGACAATGGTTGGGAGCTGAGCTCTGGGTTTGAGGCTATGCACATTTCTTGCCTTGTGAGCAGGAATACCACTGGGTATGGCTGCCCACAGATGGCCTCTTAATGCCTAGGGAGGACAACAAACTGTGGAAAGCTCTGCATCTCTCTTGCTGGAAGCAGTGGATATCACTGACTTTCCTTCACCCATAGCTGATCCCTCCCTGGGGCTTCCAGCACCTGGCACAGCCATGTGCCCATGAACCGCACTGACTGCGTGCACGAGGAACGGGGCAGCAAAGTAGGATGCATGTGCAGCTGCAGTTTCCCCTGCTCTCTGCCCTTCCCCACCTCCTTTCCATCACCACGTGCTGTCCAGATCCTCAGCTCCTCTACACCCAGGTGTACCTGGGAGCTCAGCGTGCACCCAGATGGAGGAAAGAAGTTCAGTGCCTCCCTCGCAGCGTACCGCAGGGCTGAGTCATCGCTGGGCAGCCTGGCTGTGGAGCAGGAAGCCCATGCATGTGGTTCCTCTGCTGTTTGGCCTGACACTCATTGCCTTCTGCCTTGCTCCAGCAGCAGAACTGCAAGCAGGGAAGGCTGTGGCAGGGCTGCTGCCAACTGCATGCCCTCCAGTGGGACATCACCTTCCCAGGAGCCCTCAATCTGGCTCCACTTGCCAGCACCCACAGGAGGCAGGTTCCTTTGGAAACAGCCATAGCTATCACAAATGATCCAAAAATACAGTGGGAGTGAGGAAGCTGGAGGGTGAGCTGGAGGATCTGGCCATGAGCAGAAGCATCCCAAGCAGGTGTCAATACCTATGAAAGCACTGACAGTGAAGGGGTTGCAGGGCTTTGTTTCATGGCAGAGGTGGACCAGATGCAAAGAGCTCAGCTCCTCCTTGTCCCTTCCTTCTCAACAAGGCCGGGTAGGAACACTCTGGGGGAAAGGGAACACACCAGGGCCCATGCCAGCAGACGAGGCTGTGCCAGCACCAGGGCTGAGGCAGGGCAGAAACACCCAGTCCTGGCTCGTGTTTGAGCACTGCTTCCTTGCATTTGAACCCTTCTGCAGGGAAGAACAGCCACCTGCCTGGAGCGCGGGCAGAAGGAAGGACTGTGCTGCTCTGTAGCATGGCACACAGTCTTGCACCACCTCCCCTCAGCACGGCTGCTCGGGTCCACCTGGTTCCAAACATGCATCCTTCCCTCCCAGAACAGCACCCAGCACTGTGCTGGGCTGTCAGCCTCTGCTTTTCTCTCCCTGCTGGTGAGTCAGTATTTGGCCAAAGGTGAGACTGCAGGAGGTGGCATTGCCCGAGATAAGCTAGCAGAACGGCCAGATCTGATTTTTTGTCCTTCATGATACAGGCTGGATTTTTTT